GCTGGCCGTGTCTATCTCTGACAACATCGGTGCTGTGAGCTGTGATGGGGCTGGAAATGGAATTTTCAATTAAGAGTCTCCATGCATCCTGGCTCGCATTACACTCGAATTACATTTCAGTCTGATGCGGCACCTACCTGCGTGAATAGGGCAGGGCAGGGCTGGTGGGGGCAACTCCCCCTCTTCTTGATGTGAGGTCTCCTCTTGCCTCCCCTCGAGCAGTCCCGGGTAACCACCCCTTGGCCTCTTTGGGGACCCTCTGCTGGGTGGGCCTAGCTGCTCTCTAAGGGTTATGGGGTGGTATGTAGACACAGGGATGCTGCCCCGGGCCCTTCACTGGAATTGAATTCAAATGCCTTCTGCTGGCAGAGCCCTCATGCTGTGTGGGATGCTCCCTACCAGGCCGTCCAGTCTAACAGAAAAGTTAGCAGAAAGGAAGGCAGAGGTGTGGGTGTGGCCTCCCAGCCTCGGCTGCCCACAGGGAGGTCCTAATCTCTCAGAATTTCAGCTAAAATTGGGCTCTGTGAAACCAGCTAAAAGGGGCCAGGAAGGGCTGGCCACCGTGCCTGGGGAGCCTGCAGAGGAGACACTAATGTTTGCAGTCTTAAAAAAACACGCCTTTCATTGTTTTGCTGCCTAAAAACGCATTAGTGACCAGAGAGAGTAGGCCGCCTTCCATTCCCAGCAGGTGGGGCAGCCTTGGGGTATTAGGCCAGAGCTTGTTCCCTTAGAGTGACTTCAGGAGGCCTGGGGCAGGGCTGACCACAGTGGCCCTGGGCACTTGTGAAGGGACACCTGGGCTCCTGCTCTGGAGGCCCTGCCTCTCCTTCCCTGAAGCTGCTGGCCTGTTGCCGTCAGGGTAGACAGAGCAGAACCGTTTTCTTGAAGGCTGGGGTTTGTTTCCTTCCTTTCTTCCTTCCTTCCTTCCTTCCTTCCTTCCTTCCTTCCTTCCTTCCTTCCTTCCTTCCTTCCTTCCTTCCTTCCTTCCCACCCTCCCTCTCTCCCTCCCTCCCTCCTTCCTTCCTTTTTCTTTTCTTTTCTTTCTTCTTTTTTTCTTTCTTTCCTTCCTTCTTTCTTTCTTTCCTTCCTTCCTTCTTTCTTTCTTCTTTCTTTTTCTTTCTTCCTTTCTTCATTCGTTTCTCTCTCTCTCTCTCTCTCGCTCTCTCTCTCTCTCTCTCTTTGTCTTGGGCTCTTTCTTGCTTGTGTAATTTTACTGATCATTCACTAACTAAGGACGTTATGTAAAAGATGTACATGGTTGAACCATTCAATGACGAAAATTTTTCCATATACTTAATCATAGAGGGCAGGATTTAAATCCTGAATCTCGGGCGCCTTTGAAACTCTGCTTGTTGGCCTACTGCTCAATGTGAATGAAACCAAACTGCTTTCCGTAATCTCTTTTCTTGGGCTTTTTCCAATTGCATATCTGACTCAAAAGAACATAACTAACTTTTTTTTAACTCTGTAATTGTTATGTATGTAAAACTGCTCTAAATACATTAAATCTTTAAGGAGTCTTGGGGAAAACTTTTTTTCTATTGTTTTTATGCATGATTTCCTTACATTTTTGACCAAGGCAATTTTGTCTTCATTTGTTCTCCCTACATTTGTTGAAGTTTATAGTATTCAAAGCACTCTTTGTGTCATTGAAAACACTAAGGGTTTGGTCTGGGCCCCATTGCTTGCCAGAGATGAGTATCTTTAGGGAAGGAGGCTTTTTATTTGGGAATACTAGCCGAGAGAACAGGAATTCAGTTTCAAACCCATCTCCTTGACCAACTACTATTGGGATTTTTTAATAGTAGGGAAAGTGGGAATATAGGACTGAGGAGGGTAAGGAAGCAATCATAATGGATGACGGGTGCATGTGATGCTTCAGTCCCTTGCCTGAGGGATGGCTTCCAGGAAGGAAGTCAAATAAGACGTTCTTTTCTTTTTTCTTTTCATTTTTTCTTTTTTTTGAGAAGGAGTCTTGCTCTGTCACGAGGGTGGAGTGCAGTGGTGCGATCTCAGCTCACTGCAACCTCTGCCTCCCAAGTTCACGAAATTCTCCTGCCTCAGCCTCTGGAGTAGCTGGGACTGCAGGTGTGCACCATCATGCCCAGCTAATTTTTGTATTTTTAGTAGAGACAGTATTTTACCATGCTGGCCAAGATGGTCTCGATCTCTTGACCTCGTGATACACCCACCTCAGCCTCCCAAAGTGCTGGGATTCTTATAACTAAGTTTCAAGCTGTAAGACCAAGGAGGGTCAATTTCTATGTTTATTCAAAAAAACCCATACATATCAGGCCCATGGGACCATTGGGCCAGTTTCATTTTCAGCAGGAAGCTGTTTTCTCGAGGAGGCATTCATGGCCATGCACAGCCGGGCTCCCTTCCCCTCCACCCTCCTCCCACTTCAGCAGCAAGTCCTCTTACCTCCTGAGGCCAGGGCTGTGGAGGTTGCAGAGGGCTCCTGCACCCTCCTGCGGTCTGGCTGCCTGGGATCTGGGCTTGGCCCTGCTGTCCAATGTGTTGTGTGATTGTAGACAGGCTCCCTTCCCTCCCAGACTCTTGACCTTTCCACCTCAGAAGGAGGGGTGTTGGGGGTCTGGACAGGTCCTGAGTCTTGAACCACCTTGTGCATGTGAAAGCTATGGACTCTGCCCCCCAAAATCCCCACTGTGCCTCATTTCATTTGGGTTTCAGGGTTCACAGACTCTGAAATCATCCAATTAAACCTGTGACTAGATGGGATGGTCTTCAAGGTGTGTGGCTCTGAGGTTCTGTATGTGTGTGTGTGTGTGTGTGTGTGTGTGTGTGTGTGTTTTAGTGTGTTTATGCTGAGACTGGTGCTTGAGCTTCTGAAAACTGAGAGCAGAGAACACACATATCTATTCCTTAGGACTGTGAAGAAACCCGCCCCCTACTTCTCACCTCCAACCCCAGCACTGGGGTGATAGACACTTCCTGTGGACAGGGGATCAGGTCCTTAGGCCCTTTGCTGCTGGGCCTTGTTGGCTGCTGGCCTGATGATGGGTGAGTCGTCAAGGTGTCCTCCTTGTGGCATGAGGTCCAGCCGTTCCCCAGGTGAATCCTCTCTTCCCTGGTGGGGGTTCCCAGGGAGTTGGATGCTGAACCAGCATTCCACATATCACCCCCTTCCTCTCCTGGGTCTGGTCAAGGGTGACTGAACACCAAGACCTGTCAAGTAGAGCAAAGTGTCTGTGTCCCCTGGGACTTTCTGCCAACAGCTGCTCTGGAAGATTGAGACTCTTCCTTCTGGACCTTGGGACCCACCTGGCCCTGTCCTGACCTCCCAGGGAGCACTGGCAGGACCCATGGCTGAAGCTGCCTGCAGGTCGCTGCGGGGCTCTGCCTCTTGGCAAGGGTGACCCATCCAGCAAGGTGAGAATGAGTAGGCGCTTGTTGGGAGAGGCCTTTGTCTCCTTTCCCTAATATCACTTGGAAGCCACTGCAGAGTCCTCACTGCTGTCCTGAGTTGGGGTCAGGGAGAGTGGCTGGGGCACTCTTCGGCTTACAGGGTAACTCGTGCTGGTGCTTATCTGGGAGGGTCAGCTGTGCACCACACAGCCTCCCTTAGGGGAAGAACTGCTTGAGCCTTGCCCAGTAGGGGAAGGAAAAGATGAAAGACAGAGAAACAGTATCAATACTCAGGCTTTCAAGTTGTGACTCTGTAACCTATCAGCGGCTGACTTCAATGGGGCCAGTGCCCTTTTTGAGTCTTAGTTTCTTTATTTGTAAAGTAGGAAGATAATCATGCCTCCCTCCCAGGACTGCTGTGGGAATCAGTGTCTGTAAGGGAGTACCACGTGGTTACTGCTGTCAGTGTTCACTATTACTAACCTGGTGGGAAAGGCAAGGGGCTTAGGAGTGGGACTTTCGATCTCCAGCCAGCCGTTGGTACAGGGAGTGGGGAGGGTAGGTAGGTTCACATCTCTGCATTTTCTAGTCAATAGAGGAAGAGGTAAAAGAGTACTTTTTACAATGTCCAGTGAGAGGTGAAAGGAGGGAGTGAAACAGATACTGTACACCCATGTTCATAGTGCATTATTCACAACAGTCAAAGGTGGAAGCAGCGCAGGTGTCCACCGACAGATGAATGTATAAACAAAACGCAGCATGTATCTGCAGCGAGTATGAACCTTGAGGACATTATGTTGAGTGAAAGAAACCAGTCACAAAATACTGTACGATTGCACTTAGATGGGGTCCTCAGAAACGGCAAATTCATACAGATGGAAGGTAGAATGGTGGGTGCCAGGGACTTGGAGGAAGCGGGGAGGGGGAGTTAGTGTTTTGTGGGTGTAGAGTTTCAGTTTGGAAAGAGGCAAAGAGTTTTGGAGAGACGGTGGCAGGTGGGGATGTTTGCTTAATGCCACTTCAACGCTGTGAGAGTGGCAAACTTCTTGTTATGCACATTTTACTACATGCACAAATCCAGACGTTCTACCTGGTCAGCATTCCCTGTGGGCGGAGGGGAGGGGCTGGCTGACCCCTTAGGCTCCAGACCCTCACTCCTGTTCCGGGACTGTCCTCATCTGGCCCTGCAAGGCCCAGTGCTGATGAGGGAAAGGCCGCTCTCTGCTGGCCGAGCTCCTGGGCAGGTATATCTAAGGCATCCCCTCCAGTGCCAACCCTGCTTCCAGCTGCTCTCCAGAAGCCCCTCATTTATTAGGAAAGTGCTTCCTGCTGTCCTCTCCAACCCCGCTGGCAGCCCGGTTGAGCACCAGGAGCTGGCACTCTCGTTGGCCCCGGCAGCCAGGGCTGGTACAGCCGCAGGCCCAGCCTCACAGCCCGGCTCTCCTGGCAGCGGGGGGCCTCTGGGGCCAGGGGCCAGCTCCGGGTCCAGGAATAGGGTGGGCAGGTGGCGCGGGGGCGCGGGCTTGGCAGGCAGCGCTCTGCAGTGCTCCCTCTGCTCCGCCAGGGGGAGATAGAGCCCCGCGTTTGGCTCTGCGACCTGCGCGGCAGTAGCGAGCAAGCTGTCGGGAAGCGAGCTCTGGGCCTGACCAGATTCCCCCAGCCCCCATCCCGTCCCTACAGGGCTCCCAGGCCCGGACCTGCGCTGTGCGTGGCCCTCGCCAAAGCTGTCGTTCGGGCTATTAATATTTGCTATGAAACAAAGACACCCCAAATTCAGTGGCTTAAAACAACCCTTTTAATCTCGCACATTTCTGAGTCCTTCTGACCCACGTGGTGTCTACTGGGGCTGCTGCTTCTGCGGCTCGGCAGGCTGGCAGGCACCGCACGGGGCTGGCCCTCCACGGGCTGGCCTCCCAGCCAGCAGAGACCTCCTTTTTCTTTGTTTTTGGGAAGTGTACCTGGTCCTCAGGTCTTCTGCAGCTCACAGGGATTGACATGATCCTTCCCCAGGATTTTTCTGCTGTAGGCAGTGGAAAGACTGTCTCTTCCCATGGGGTCGCCTTCCGGGAAGATTGTGACTCCAGGCTGCCAGCAGAATGGCTCACCGGGGGATGGGTGAGTCCTGGATTCGGTTGTGTGGGATGCCATCAACCCCACTCCCGCCCCATCCTTCTCAGTTATATGCGTGAGCACATCCCGTTATGATGGAACAAGTCAGTGTGGGGTTTCTGTCACTCGCAGTCAAGAGTCCTGACCAGAACGGGAGTCATTCATTATAACAAACAGCAACCTAATCAACTAATTCATGTGTAAAAGTTTTTTTTTTTTTTTATCATGTAGGGAATTCTTTTGGCATTGAGGAGCAGGATGTACAACTTGACGTTGTGAGAAATAGGGAGCCTGGGGGGAGTTCCTCAGGCTCTCGTTCCTCCTCTGTCCTTTGGGAGTCTGGGGGTGTTCCTCAGGCCCTCTTTCCTCCTCTGTTCTTTGCGGTCTCAGTATCACCTCTGCATCCCTCTGGGTTTCTGCTGCATGCTTCTGTTTCCCGCTCTAGAGTGGCTGCTTTGTGGCTTGCTGGATGCTCTGGTGCCTAAGCTCATCTGTGGCTGAGACAGCCTTGGTGCCCACGATGGTCTTGATGCTCAAGGTCTGCATCTCAGCCACACCTGCACTGTCTCCTGGTGTGGTGCGCTAATTACAAGGACTCGGGAGGAAAGCAAAAACACATGTCTAGTCCTGGGCTGATCATCTGTGGACAGAGGCATGAGGTCATTTGTATAGTCATGGTTTCATAAACCTCCTCTTCAGCAAAGGCCATGGGTGAAGCATTTTCTTTTAGTGGGTATAGTAGGGAGGCAGCTATGGCATGCCTGGTGTAGAGTGGCTGACACTGGATGTCCCAGATTTCCCTATGGTCAGAAGTCCCATAGCCTCCAGTGGTCTGAATCATTCTGCCATGCTTCCTCATGCTGTGAGGGAGACCCTTACCATCCAGTTCCTGTCTCGCACTTTTGTTCTAATGACTGGAATCCCCCCTGCATGCCACTCTTCCACACTTCCACCACCATGACTGTGTGGATTCTCTTCAGCAAGTGCCACGTTCTGTGGCTCTGCCCTCCTGCTTCTCTCTCTGACCCAGCACTGCTTCTCTCTTTGACAGCCAGAAAGATCCAGTTCAGTTGTCCACTTCCCATGATAACTTTTCTTGATTCCAAAACTTTCCTCTCTCTGCTCCTCAGTCTCTCCTTGCTCCCTCTGGTAGAGTATTCATTACACTGAATTATAATAACCTTTTTCATTTGTCTGTCTTCCACACTAGGCCGTAATTTAGCATGATGTAATGGGAAGACTTTGGCATAAAAAATCCTGAGTTCAAATTATCGCTCAATTATACTACACATTAGCTATATGTCTCTGATGACTGATTCAACCTTTTTGAGTGTTAATTCCACCTTTTTGAGTGTTAATTCCTAATTTGCAAAATGCAGACAATAATGGTACCCACCTCATAGGTCTATTGTGAATATTGAATGAGATGAATATATAAAGTGAGTTGCCTTGTGCCTTTATTGAGGGCAGGGACAATGCTTAACTCATCTTTGGTTCTTCAGTGTCAAGCACAGGAACTCTCATATAGGAGACTTTGTACAACTTTGCAGAATGAATGAATGAATGTTTAATCTGAAGAATAAAGAAGCTCCAAGGATGGACTGTTGGATACTGGGATACAAGGGAATGCTTTGAGGCATATACTAAAAGAGATTGGGAGGTCTCTGTTAGTGAGAATTAATGATGCATAAGACACCTCATCTCCTAACCTTTCCTAGGTCCATGGAGGTCTAAGGTTGCCAGCAATGATCACAAAGAAGTTGATAGGATCAGACTTATCTGTATTAGTTGTCTTTTGCTGCATAACGATAGTACCACAAACTTCATAGTTTAAAATATCACCCATTTATTATCTCATAGTTTTTATGGGTTAGGATTCTGTGCACTCTTTAACTGGATCTCTGCAAGACTGCAATCAAGGTTTTGGCTATGACTGGGGTCTCTTCAGTTCCCTGAAAGCTGTTGGACTGAGAGCCCTAGTTATGCATTGGCTGTGGTCAGAGATTATCCTCTGGTTTCCTGCTACATGGCCCTCCCCATAGGCAGCTTATAACATCACAATTTCCTTCTTCCAAGTCAGCAGGGGAAAGGGAGAGACTGCAGTAGAACAGGTGCTGCTATCTTATGTCATATACCCATATTCAGAAATCAGGTACACATATGCATGTAAGCCCCATCACCTTTGGCATATTTTATGTGGTTAGAAGCAGGTAATGGATCCTTCCCACACACAAGGGGAGGAGACCACACAAAAGCATAAACATCAGGAGTCAGAAAAAACAGAGACCATCTTAGAATCAGTCTATCACATCATCTCACATTAAACAACTATAAAATTGAACAAAATATTTGAAGCAACTATTTTTGGACACAGAACAGGACAGCATTGGACTGGATGCCCTGAGAAGAGCACAGGAGGTGAGCTCCACATTTACCCTGATTTTCTGTATGGGGAAGTTTTAAGGCATAGCTTAGGAAAATAGAGCTTAAGTAGAAGGTGGTCCTATTAAGCAGAGGAAATAGAAATTGAAATTTGGGGCTGCCAGTGGCTGGAATTTTAGGGGTAGGGTGCAAAAGAAAAGGGAATCTTAGAAAAGAAGACCTAGAAATCCCTAAGAGCTTGGCTAAATCCCAATTTGCTCATATTTAGCAAAAGACTGAGAAGTCAATAACAGCTGCTGGGGGACTGTGGCAGATTGAATTTTGTAGAGATGGTCAAACAATATCTGTTATCCCACATGCTTTTTAAAAATATGACTTTGGCATGCTCCCATCAAGAAGTGGAGTCTGTTTCTCTCCTATTGAGGCTTGATAGACAGTGACTGCTTTGTAGAGCAAAGACAAGTAAACTCAGCCCTGCATAAATTTCTGATCCACAGAAGCTGAGAGTATAATAAAATGGTTTTTGAAGTTGCTAAGTTTTGGGAGTAATTTGTTACACAACAGTAACCAGAAGATGAAATTAGAGCTGAGCAGAGTTTTCCAAAGTTGCAAAGTGCTGGGGAGATATTGGAGTTCTGACCCCAGCTGAGCCACCTTTTTGAACATACTGGACATTTAATATGAGCTCCAGAAAGACAACATCTAAGGTATAAAGATAACATCCCTGGAGGAAAACACTGTAATATCAAGAATAAACCTGAGATAGACCTTCCCTGCCAGTAACTTGACTACCTAGCAGAACAGAACTTAGCACTATTTGGAGGTAGATAACCCAGAATTTCTACAAATATCATTGATAATGTCCAGCATACAATAAAAAATAACCAAACACACACACACAAAACAGGAAAATGTGACTGATTATAATGAGAATGAAGTTGTAGAAGTAGACTCACAGGTGACCCCAAGATTGAAATTAAAAATAAGAATCACTTTAGTGAGTAATTTAAAAAAATTATAGAAAAGGTGGAAAAAATGGATAAATGGAAAGAAACTTTTATTTAAAAAATGGAAACAAAAATTCTAAAACTGAAAATTATCCTTGAAATTAAGAATTTATTGAGTTTACTTAATATTATACTGGATAGTTGAAGAAAGGATTAGTGAATTAAAAGACTGATCAATAGAAATTATACAAACTGAAGAATAAAAAGAAAAGAGAAAGTAAAAACCAAATATAACAGCTATCACATACAGAGTGCCTAAGCTGATTAATGTCAAGCCATCTAACATATGAACAACTGGAGCCTCAGAAATAGGAAAGAGAAAAATATTTGAAAATATAATAATCAAAAATTTCCAGTATTGATGTAGAATATCAACTACAAATCCCAGAAACTCAGCAAATATCAAGCAGAAAAAATATTTAAACATGACATAGTCAAACTGCTGAAAAACAAAGGTAAAGACAAAATCTTAAAAGCAATTGGGCTATGCGTGTGTAATAATACATCCAGGGTAATAAGAAGAATGAGGGTTGACATCCCATTAGGAAAAATGGAATAAGAACACAATGAAATGACATTTTTAAAAATGTTAAAATAAAACAGAAAGCCAGTGAAAATGTCCTCCCAAACTAGGCATCATACTACCTAACTTCAAACTATACTACAAGCCTACAGTAACCAAAACAGCATGGTACTGGTGCCAAAACAGATACATAGACCAATGGAACAGAACATAGGCCTCAGAAATAACACCATGCATCTACAACCATCTGATCTTTGACAAACATGACAAAAACAAGGAATGGGGAAAGGATTCCCTATTTAATAAATGGCATTGGGGAAAACTGGCTAGCCATATAAAGAAAATTGAAGCTAGACCCCTTCCTTATACTTTATACAAAAATTAACTCAAGATGGATTAAAGACTTAAATGTGAGACCTAAAACTGTAAAAACCTTAGAAGAAAACCTAGGCAGTATTATTCAGGACACAGTCATGGGCAAAGACTAAAACACCAAAAGCAATGGCAAAAAAAGCCAAAATTGACAAATGGGATCTAATTAAACTAAAGAACTTCTGCACAGCAAAGGAAACTATTATCAGAGTGAACAGGCAACCTATGGATGGGAGAAATTTTTTTGCAATCTACCCATCTGATAAAGGGCTAATATCCAGAATCTACAAAGAACTTAAACAAATTTATGAGAAAAAACAAATTTATGAGAAAAACAAAATGACCCCATCAAAAAGTTGGCAAAGGATATGAACAGACAGTTCTCAAAAGAAGACATTTATGCAGCCAACAAACATATGCAAAGAAGCTAATCATCACCTGTCATTAGAGAAGTGCAAATCAAAACCACAATGAGATACCATCTCACACCAGTTAGAATGGCAATCATTAAAAAGTCAGGAAACAACAGATGCTGGAGAGAATGTGGAGAAATAGAAATGCTTTTACACTGTTGGTGGAAGTGTAAATTAGTTCAACCAATGTGGAAGACTGTGTGATGATTCCTTAAGGATCTAAAACTAGAAATATCATTTGACCCAGCAATCCTATTACTGGATATATATCCATAGGTATATAGGTATATATATCATTCTATATAAGAC